GCGTTGGATGCGGAGGTTGGTGGAGTGGTACGTGAGGACGAGGGGGATTCTGTTTTGGTTGTTATTGCGGGGAGTGGGTGTGAGGGATGAGTTGCGGGAAATGTGGGAGACACAGTCGAGGGGGTTCTCGACCGCTGAGGACGGGGGGGAAGTTGTGGTCCTTGAAAAACGAGGACATCTGAGATGTACGGGAGTCGAATGCCTCATCCTGGGGGCGGAGGCGAATGAATTGGGAATAGGAGATGGCATTTTTGCAGGAAGGTGGGTGGGATGAGGTGTATTCTAGGTAGCTGTGGGAGTCGGTGGCCTTGAAATGGATATCGGCTTCTAGGTGGTTGCCAGAGATGGAGACAGAGGGGTCCAGGAAGGAGAGAGAGGTATTAGAGATGGTCCAGGTGAACTTAAGGTTGGGGTGGAAGGTGTTGGTGGAGTGGATGAACTGTTCGAGCTCCTCGTGGAGCACGAGGCGGCGCTGATACAGTCATCGATGTAACGGAGGAAGAGGTGGGGTTTAGGGCCAGTGTAGGTACATAAAACCCGCGGACAAGGGAGGCGCAGTTGTAGTATGGCGCACTGACCTCTGCATCGCCGAGGCCAGACGCCAACTCTCCGACACCACCTCCTACCGCCCCCTTGATCATGACCCCACCCCCGAGCACCAAACCATCATCTCCCAAACCATCCACAACCTCATCACCTCAGGTGACCTCCTACCCACAGCCTCTAACCTCATCGTTCCCCAACCCCACATCACCCGCTTCTATCTCCTTCCCAAAATCCACAAACCCGACTGCCCTGGTCGACCCATTGCCTCTGCCTGCTCCTCTCCCACTGAACTTATCTCCACTTATCTCGACTCCATTTTCTCCCCCTTGGTCCAGGAACTCCCTACCTACGTCCGTGACACCACCCACGCCCTCCACCTCCTCCAAAACTTCCAATTCTCTGGTCCCCAACACCTCATCTTTACCACGGACGTCCAGTCCCTATACACCTGCAATCCCCGTACAGATGGCCTAAAGGCCCTCCGCTTCTTCCTGTCCCGCAGGCCCGACGAGTCCCCCCTCCACTGACACCCTCATCCGCTTAGCCGAAATCGTCCTCACCCTTAACAACTTCTCTTTCAATTCCTCCCACTTCCTACAGACAAAGCGGGTGGCCATGGGTACCCGCATGGGCCCAAGCTATGCCTGCCTCTTTGTAGGTTACGTGGAACAATCCCTCTTCCGTAGCTACACTGCCCCTAAATCCCACCCCTTCCTCCGTTACATTGATGACTGTATCGGCACCACCTTGTGCTCCCACGAGGAGCTCGAACAGTTCATCCACTTCACCAACACCTTCCACCCCAACCTTAAGTTCACCTGGACCATCTCTAATACCTCTCTCTCCTTCCTGGACCTCTCTGTCTCCATCTCTGGCAACCACCTAGAAACCAATATCCATTTCAAGCCCACCAACTCCCACAGCTACCTAGAATACACCTCCTCCCACCCACCTTCCTGCAAAAATGCCATCCCTTATTCCCAATTCCTTCGCCTCCACCGCATCTGCTCCCAGGATGAGGCATTCCACTCCTGTACATCTCAGATGTCCTCGTTTTTCAAGGACCGCAACTACCGCTCCCCCCCTCCGCCAGGGGTCGAGAACGCCCTAGACCATGTCTCCTGCATTTCCCGCAACTCATCCCTCACACCCCCTCCCCGCCATAACAACCAAAACAGAATCGCCCTCGTCCTCACGTACCACCCCACCAACCTCCGCATCCAACGCATCATCCTCAGACACTTCCGCCATCTGCAATCTGACCCCACCACCAAAGACATTTTTCCCTCCTCACCCTTATCTGCTTTCGGGAGGGAGCACTCTCTCCGTGACTCCCTTGTCCAATCCACACTCCCCTCCAGCCCCACCATACCCGGCACTTTTCCCTGCAACCGCAGGAATTGCTACACCTGTCCCTACACTTTCCCCCTCACCCCCAGCCCAGGCCCCAAGAAGACTTTCCACATCAAGCAGATGTTCACCTGCACATTTGCTACTGTGGTGTACTGTATCCGCTGTTCCCGTTTTGGCCGCCTCTACATTGGGGAAACCAAGCGGAGGCTTGGGGACCGCTTTGCAGAACACCCACGCTCGGTTCGCACTAAACAACTGCACCTCCCAGTCGCAAACCATTTCAACTCCCCCTCCCATTCCTCAGGCGACATGTCCATCCTAGGCCTCCTGCAGTGCCACAACGATGCTACCCGAAGGTTGCAGGAACAGCAACTCCTATTCCGCTTGCGAACCCTGCAGCCCAATGGTATCAACGTGGATTTCACAAGCTTCAAAATCTCCCCTCCCCATACCGCATTCCAAAACCAGCCCAGCTTGACCCCGCCTCCCTAACCTGTCCTTCCTTCCCACCTATCCCCTCCTCCCACCTCAAGCCCCACCCCCATCTCCTACCTACTAACCTCATCCCACCCCCTTGACTTGTCCGTCCTCCCTGGACTGACCTATCTCCTCCCTACCTCCCCACCTACACTCACCTTTAACTGGCTCCATCCCCGCCTCTTTGACCTGTCTGTCTCCTCTCCACCTATCTTCTCCTCTATCCATCTTCTATCCGCCTCCCGCTCTCTCCCTATTTATTTCAGAACCCACTTCCTTGCCCCCATTTCTGAAGAAGGGTCTAGACCCGAAACGTCAGCCTTCCTGCTCCTCTGATGCTGCTCGGCCTGCTGTGTTCATCCAGCCGTACACCTTGTTATCTCTCAACTGGATGGTTATCTGGCAGTTTCAGTATAGAAGCTAAGAATCTACCAGGTGGATGTGGGACTGGAGTGGTGTATAAACCCATTGAGACACCAGGTTTCTTTCCTTTTTCTTGTGTAACAAACCTATGTTGTATTGCTAAAGCACATCTGCAGCCTCATGTGACCATGTTTCAGTTTAGACTATCCACCACTTTAGCAACTTAAACAAAAATTACACGTGATCTATCGAGGCAGGTTTGATTCTGGAATTGTCATGTTTCATTCTGGGATTGGACTTGCCCATTAGTACCACCAGCTGGGATCACAGCAGGACAAGGTGTCTGTGAGTGGGGGAGGGATTAGGTTTGATGGTGCATGTCACTACACTTCAACACGGTGCACATTCCAAACATGCTCTAAAAAATGGTGATAAGGAAATGCAACAGTTGATGCCAGAATTGATGGAACTGGGATAAGAGCAGGGCAATAATGAAACAAGTCGTCTTCTTTTTTTTTGGTTACTTTTAAAGATTCTGATGCCTTGGTACATCATGAATTGCAAAATGCATGAGTTCACATTGTTCTTAATCAGTGTGTATTATAACACGTGGACATGAGGCGTGTTAGTACCTAATCCTGTTAATAGGATGCTAAATACCTAGTAAAAGGTAACGCAGGCAAGTGTTGTGAATTAATTAGTTAACAAATGTACACAAGTTCGAGAGCTCTTGTGGTGCTGTGGTAGTGTCCCTACCTCTGAGCTAGAAGACTTGGGTTCAAGTCCCACCTGCTGTAGAGGCAAGTTATATCTTCTCTGAACAGGCTGATTTAGAAATATCTATTAAACTATATGCAGCGATGAGTCGGCCAGAGGTTTAGGAATCTTATGGCGGATGGTTGTTTGAAATAAATCTCTAACTAGAAAGAATATGACTGGACTTTGCCTAAATGAATTTAACTTCAGGTGGACGATATGATATATTGACCATGTGAGAAGTTGGGAGATTTCCGAAGGTTCCATGAATGGTTCCGTATTCTTGGTGCCATGTCTTTTCTATGACTATTTCAAAGATTCCACAGCCTTTTGAGTGAACCAGTTCTTTCCTGTATGGGGAGGACTAATGTCTCTGCCATGGAGACTTCAATAGAGTCCGTAAATGATTTCCTTGACACGGAGAAGATAATGGGGAGGGAGATTTAAAACTATATTGGAGATTGGCAAAAATAGCAGTTTTACTGATGATCGTGAATCATCCAATCCAGGTGAGGTGATGGCCTAGTGGTATTATCACTGAACTGTTAATCCAAAGCCCCAGGTAATGTAGTCGGGGCGTAGGGTTGAATTCTGGCATGGCACATGTTGGAATTTGAATTCAATAAAAATCTGGAATTAAGAGTCTAATGATGATTAAGAGTCTAATAATATCCACAAATCCATTTTGGATTGTCAGGAAAAACCCATCTGTTTCACGAATGTCCTTTAGAGAAGGTAACTACCATCCTTACCTGGTCTGGCCTACAGGTGACTCCAGACTCACAGCAATGTGGTTGACTCTTAATTACCCTCTGGGCAATTAGGGATGGGCAATAAATACTGGCCTGGCCAGTTGATGCTGTCATCCTGTCAATAAATAGAACAAAGGACACCATAGATTACTTCTGCTTGGCTAGTGGCAACATGTTGTGAGGGGATAGTTGTCAGGTGATAGATGGCAGAAGCCAGAGGTCACAGCTCCATGGTCATGTGATGAAGCCTTCTGGAATATGGTCAAGCAGAATTGGCGACCCAATGATTTACGTTGGGCGACATGGTTTGGACACTTAAAAGGTTGTGAAAGCATCCCAAACATGGATCGTTCTGGATTCCCTTTGTCTGTGGATATTTTGGGGAGGGTGGAGTGAAATATGGCCGTAGGGAGATTGTCTTGTCCGTGATTCTCTCCAACTGCAGACACCAACCTGTGACTACTGACAGAAAATCCAGAGGGAAGATGAGCAGGAATTGCTTCAGGTAGCAAGTTGTTGTAATTTGACATCCAGCAAGTGAGAAAGGGAAGTGGAGCACAGCTTCTAAAAAGAAATGGAGTGAATACTTGTTCCCCACCTCCCCCACCCCCCGCCCCCCGTTAACAAATCAGGGCTTGGGAGATGAGTAGGGAGAGTGTACTAATGGATACCCCTTTCCAAGTGATAGCGTAGGCACAGTGGGCTGCATGGCCTCCTGGGAATTTATGCTGACCTACTCTGTTTGTTTTTCAGAGCTTAAAACGTTGGAGGAGGAAAAGTGAAAGTTGAAAATAGACTGAATGAAGCAATGCCTACAGCAAATCATACTTCTCAGAGATTTCTTTCTCTTTTTTTAATTTATTGGGCAATGTGAACAACATCTCATTGAAACCCTCCTGCTTGGACTTCTCCATTGTTCCAGTGAGTAGTTTTATTCATTCTACCTCAGTTTTAAAGACAGAACAATTGTTGAAAACATTCCACTAATCTCCCTGAATGTTCCTCTGGGTGGTTGCACCATGTTGAGTATGTTGCTGATTTCTGTGGACCGGAATGTTCCTTGGTTTGAGCTATGGTCTGGGTTAATTATGCTGGGATTAAATAACTTGTTTCAGGGACCCTGGTTTGAAAGGAGAAACCTTTCAATCAAGCCTTTTGGCCATGGTCACTGTGCCATAAGCTGAAAAACTAAGGGTGGAACGGTGGCTCAGTGGTTAGCACTGCTGCCTCAGAGTGCCAGGGACCCGGGTTCGATTCCAGCCTCTGGTGACTGTGTGTGGGGAGTTTGCACATTCTCCCCGTGTCTGTATGGGTTTCCTCCCACAGTCCAAAGATGTGCAGATTAGGTGGATTGGCCATGCTAAATTGCCCATAGTGTCCAGGGGTGTGCAAGCTAGGTCAATTAGCTATGAGAAAAGCAGGGTTACAGGGATGGGGTAGCAGGTTGTGTCTGGGTGGGATGCTCTTTGGAGTGTCAGTTTGAACTCTTCCACACTGGAGGGATTCTATGTTAAAACAGAATTGAGCTTGAAGCAGGGATCTCTTAATCACTAATAAGGTGCTAAATGTTTCCTCTTGTGCACCTTCCCTTCACCCCAATGGCTGCCTTGGTCGTAAACTCTGAAATTCTTTCTCTAAAACTCTCCACTGTCACATAGGACTTCAGATCAGAATTAGACCTTTTATCCCTATGTGTCTATGCTCTGACCTTCAATCATTGCTGATCTGGTTGTGGGACTCGATGTCACGTTCCTGTCTGCAACTTCCCATCCGTAATAGCCCTTTACAGCTCTTGTCTATAGGAACCTAGTACTTAGGAGCATGATTAGGCCCTTCTACCATTCATTTGAGATTCTTCCTTTAAGATGCTGCTGAAGCCCTACCCATTTGACTGGGTGTTCAGTGAATTGCTCTAGTATCTCCTCCTTTGTTTGATGCAGATTATTTAGGTCTCTGTGAAAGGTATTGAGAGATCATACTATTTAAAGGTACAGTATTGATGCAAGTTGGCCTTGTAATAGCCAGAACTTGAACAATGAACAAAGCAAACAGCAGCTGCAGAACCACAGGATGGGGTGTGGGTAGGGGGAGTTGAATTGGCAAACACCGTTGGTTGAATTAAACTAGATGACAAAAGTTGCCTCATACAATACCTGCTCAATCCCTGAGTTGCTAGTATTGTACGCATGAGCTGAATATTAAATAGATTCACTGAAATGCTTTGCCAAATGATTGTTAAAGTCACATGGTTCCAACTTGTCCAAAGTCTATATTTGTGAATGGAAAGGTTTACATGAAGGGCTAATGAACAACAGCAAGATTGAAGGAATAAGAGAACAGGCAAGAGAAATCAAGAAACAGCGTTTGAGTGATATTGTGATTTGGTTATGAGAGCCTGGGAACTGCAGGAGGGAGAGAAGATGGAAAGAAGATCCAAGGTTTGAATTCAGCATACTTGAGATGGCGGAAGCCTCATTGGTTGACTACTGTTTTGTGCCACATGATCTTGCAAAACAAACCTTCTCACTGCATATTTTACACCATCAAGTTGTTCACAGGTGGCCTATCAACTGAGTGGCTTTTCTGTTACAATAGGAGGTCATTTGTGGTTAAGTTGTGAGTCATAGCTGGAGAAGGTTTTCCTGTTTGATTCTCTCTTTGACAACTCTTCAAGTAATCATTTGAAACAAACTTGTGAATTGAATCTGAATGATGTCACGTTCAGGCAATGTGACTACAGAAAGACAGGCGTCACCTGAGAAATGTTTGTTTTTTTTGTTCCCCTTTCTCTCCTTTCCCCTTGCTTTTCTCTGTTAATTCACACACCATTTCAGGTCTCTTCTCAGAGTTTAACAATGTGACAGTACCTGGTACAGCTCAGGAATAACTAACATCAGGTTATGGTGTTGTAAAGGAGAATGCGCCTCGTTTGATATTGCCCCCAGTCAATATCCACCCAACATTTTCAGAGAGGGTTTCTGTCTGATTTCCGAATGTGGTGGCCCATTGATGCACCCACTCTGAAAAGCCCTAAGTTTGGTCCATTGGGGGTAAAAGTAATTCTTGGGTTTTGTTTTTCCCTCCACTACTTCATTTAGTTTTGATCCCGAGTCTTGATCACTCTCTGTATGATGATAAACCTCCAAATATCAGTTCAAATGTCACCATACCTCATTGAAAGCAACCTTTTCCACACATTAGTACCTGAATATGGGCACCTGAGGGGCTAAAAAGCTACCAGTTTCTCCAATCTTTCCTTGTAACTTGAACCTTTGGTATGAAGGTTAGCTTTAAGGATTTTGGATTCTTTCCAGGTAGGGCTGTCGACTCTGGTTTGATGTATTCCTGGAGTTTACATCATGGGCCTTCTGGCCAAGCCAAGCTACCCTTTCAAACATCTCCAATACTTTTTAAGCAGTAGTGTTCAAAGCTATTTTTCAAACCAGGCCATGTATTGAAAACCCCTGTGATTTGCCTCCTCTTGCAGAAAGAGGTTAATCTGAAATTTCTGGAGACTCCAGAGTGACCTGGAGAATTGGCACCTAGGCCTTGAATGCCACCGTTCTGCCCCAGTAATCTGACGGGGCATGGTGTAGCAGTTGCAAACTGAATGTTTGATCACCAGCTCCTTTGATGTGTACTCCATTTGCTTGGCTAGGTAATTTGACAGAGTCATAGAGATGTACAGCATGCAAACAGACCCTTCTGTCCAACTCCTCCATGCCGACCAGATATCCTAAATTAATCTACTCCCATTTCCCAGAAGTTGGTTGATATCCGTCTAAACCCTACCTATTCATGTGCCTATCCAGATGCCTTTTTAAATGTTGTAATTGTACCAGCCTCCACCACCACCTCAGGCAGCTCATTCCATACACACACCATCCTCTGCATGAAAAAGTTGCCCCTTAGGTCCCTTTTAAGTTTTTCCCCTCTCTCCTTAAGTCTATTCCTTCTAGTTTTGGACTCCGCTACTCTGGGGGACAAGCCTTGACCATTCACCTAGCATTGCCTCTCATGATTTTATAAACCTCTATAAAGTCAGCCCTGAGCCTCCAACATTCCAGGGAAAATAGTTCCAGCCTGTCCAACCTCTTCCAATAGATCAAACACTCCAACCCAGGCAACATCCTTGTAAATCTTTCTGAACCCTTTCAAGTTTCACAGCATGATATAGTGTGGTTGCTTGTGGAATGAGCTTCCTGAGGATGTGGTGGATGTGGACACAATTACATTTAAAAGACAATTAGATAAGGATATGAATAGGAAATGTCTGGAGGGATATGGGCCAGGAGCAGGCAGGTGGGACTAGTTTAGTTTGGGATTATGTTTGACATGGACTAATTGGACCGAAGGGCCTGTTTCTGAGCTGTATGACTCTGTGATGGTCCTTACTTTGTGATAACAGTTGGATCTGGAATCATTTGTGACTTCTTTTAACTTATTCAACATTGTTTATGGTGTTGTGTGTGTGTGTTGCTCCCCTCCAGAGCATGCTAGTTCACTAGCTTCATTAAATACCACCCACTGTTCCAAATGTTTATGGGATCGCTCTGCCCACTTTTGTAGTTGGCGCTAACAGCCTGTAACATCATATATGAACAGAGTCCAAAATCTCCCACTGGTCAGCCCAGGCTTTGCAAATGTTTTCACTAATAATTCTCTGAGATCAGTTCCAGAAATACAGTTGAAAAGTAGCTTCATCACAGAGGATTATTGACCATTTAACCAGACAGGGACAAAGCAGCCAAATGTAAATGAGGTTTCATCATGCAGCTCTAATAATCCTTGCTTCTCATTATTCATGACAGAGTTTAGAGCAGAAATATGATCATTCTCATGATGTCAGATTAAAAGGTAGATCTTTTTTAAATCAATTTTTAATATCATCTAAGTTGCAAGAATGAGAGAATGTTCTGTACTTGTGATCAGGGTTCAGAAAAGATTTACAAGGATGTTACCAAGACTGGAGGGTTTGAGTTATAAGGAGAGGCTGGATAGGCTGGGGCATTTTTCCTTGGAGTGCAGCAAGCTGAGGGGCGATCTTATAGAGATTTATAAAATCATGAGGGGCATGGATAGGGTGAATAGCCAAGGTTGTCTTCTCCAGGGTGGGGGAGACCAAAACTAGAGGGCATAGGTTTAAGGTGAGAGGGGAAAGATTTAAAAGGTAGATAAGGGGCAACTTTTTCACGCAGAGTGTGATGAAGGTATGGAATTAGCTGCCAGAGGAGGTGGTGGAGGTGGGTACAATTATGACATTAAAGAGGCATCTGGATGGGTACATGAATAGGAAGGATTTAGGAGAGATTTGGGCCAAATGCTGGCAAATGGGATTAGGTTAAATAGGATATCTTGACAGCGTGGACGAGTTGGACCGAAGGGTCTGTTTCCATGCTGTACATCTCTGTGACTGTATGAGCTCATTAACTCCCAGCAGTCCCTGCTATTTGGCAATTGCGAAGCTTTGGCATTTAGTTCCTATCAGAAAGTGTACGCAAAAGAAATTAACCTTGAGGTTTATGTTGCAACTATTAGTGATAAATCCAATTAATCACTCTGGCGGGTGGGTAAGGAGGAGACTACAACCTGATGGAGGAACATTTATTTTACCCATTAACTGTAGTGGAGGGGAAATCACCACCAGCTGAATCTTATGAAGAGGAATTGAGGAATGGTGTCTCAAAATCTTTATCTCAAAACTCTGATTGAAATGGAAGGTGTCCAGTTTTTAAAAAAATTGTTCCTTTTTCTCCCCCAGGTAAAAAATGCAAATTATAAATGGAAGTTTTGAAGCATAGCTGCAGATAATTCCACACAATATGAATTGCCCTGTTTCACACATGTAGTGGTGAATCTGTGGGCACATAACAAGTGGGGAAGTGATGATACTGTGAGAAAGTGAAGTCAAAAGCCAATTC